TATGTTAAACATCGCAACCTGCTATATCGCAGGTCATATGATCATGTGAATTAGACAATATCGATTGTCCAAAAATAAAAATCCGTTAAATAAATCCACGTGACACACATAAATACTACGTATGTATGTACGTATATACGTACGAGGCTTTAGAAGATGCCAAATAAGATACCTAACCTTACTATATTAATGCACAGGTACATATATAGCTTGTTAATACTGTAATTTACAGCCCATATTCAAAGCTTTACTTATATGTAAATACACGCTATCAACATGCATTTTCTATAAGTGCATATTATTTGGTTAGTCTGTATAACATTTCACTTTTTTAATAACGTGCATATACTATCGAATCGACTAGTTGAATTACTATAATATATAGTTACTTTATAGATCTCAGGTAACAAGTACTACATATGAATTTCTGTAACAAATAAAAAGTACAATACAACAGCAAACTAAATGCCTAAACCTATCTCGTGATACATAACAATGTTCTATCTTTAATACATCTACAAACCCCAATCGCCAACAAACACTAACTCTATTTAGCTGAATAAAATAAGCTTTAAATATACACTGCCCAGCTTTAAATATTTTCTAATTCTAGAATAACATGTAAATTGTAGTTGCGGTATGAATAACGTGGATCATATAAATATTGTTATTAGTGAAGTAATCATATACATGTTTCAGTACAAGTCAATGTTAGATATTGAAATTCCAATTGTCAATGATTCTATTAAAAAAAATCACGCATGCTCAATTTAAACAGATCGTAACAAAAAATTCTTATTATATAGTATGTAAAACAAACTAGAGATTTTAAAATCAAGAACAATCAAGCCAATCAACAATTGCATAATACTTATGAAGTAGCACCATAATTAGAGTTACAGTAAAATTGCTATAATTTCCTAGTTACAACCAACTAAACATTTTTAATATACTACATATTTTTGATACACACATAATCATCTCACCTAAAATGATCTTTAGGAAATTTACATGTATTGGCATAGTGTCCAGTTCCAAAACAATTACCACAGTGATGACCCTCCACCTTTGATGTAGAATTTTCACCATTCACTGTAGGAAATTTACATGTATTGGCATAGTGTTCAGTTCCATAACAATTACTACAGTGACGACTCTCCACCTTTGATATAGAATTTTCATCATTCACTGTATTAACTCGTTTCTTTGGTAGAAGTTCTTCAGTATATTCGTTTTCAGCTTCTATT